TGGTCTTGTTATGAAGGCCTTTGTTCAGGAATGTTATTTTATGCGTTGACAATTGTCTCCTTATTCTGCTCCTGTGTTCTCACCCGGTTACTGTATATGAATCCTTCATCTAGACCAGTGGTCTCCAAACTGCGGCCCAGAGGCTGGATGTGGCCCTTTGCTTGCCTTTATCTGGCCCTTGGGGCAATATTCCTCCCACTGATATGAGAAACTATTCCTCCCACTGTCACCAACAATGGTGTATAATTCCTACCACTGACGCCAAAAATGGGACACTTTTCCTCTACCTAATATCAAAGATGGGTACTGTTTGCTCCCACTGATGCTACTGCAATTTCTACTCCTACTGGCCAGTCTGGTCACCTGAAAGTCTGAAGGATGGTAAACTGGCCCTTTATTTAGACAGTTTGAAGACCCCTGGTAACAAGGGAAACCCCAGCTGACATGCTGACACATATTGTGCAAACATGGTCTACCATTGTCATTATCAGGAAGTTGGTCTGTAGTAATGATGTTCAGGCAATGCTAGTGCAAGTGCATGTAGATAGGAGGAGGCTGAAGAAGGCTAGAGGAGATCAGCAACACTGAGATGGAAAAAGTAAAAACAATATTTTATGGAAAAAAAAATCCTGAAACTTATCATGATACACAGCGCTTTGTAGAAACTAAATGTCATCCAGTTAGGGATTAGTTCTTATAGCGAGCCCGTCATTCGCTCTTCAGTGTAATATAATTTGCAGATTTCTATCCATTTTATGAGCTGAGCTGAGCTAATTCAAATGTTACCTAGAGCTATGTAAAACACTTCCCTTGTAAAACCAAAGCCAGGTTCATCCTAATGCATTGCTGCAATGCACATTACATGCACTGCTGCAATGCAATGCTCTTCATTTTGAATCTCCCCATAGCACTAAGGCAACGTACCTGCGTTATAATGCATTGCCTCCTCGAAAAAGGGCCAGATTATTATTATTATTATACAGGATTTATATAGCGCCAACGGTTTGCTCAGCGCTTATGCAGTTTTAGCCATGCTATGGTGTGTTGGCAGTCCATTCAAAAATAATGAGCTACCTTAACACAATGCAAATTGCCATGTTAAGTAACACGTGGCTCTATCCTACCTTTTATGGCTTAAAATTTTGAGTGAGCACCACTTCGGTCTGTGAACAATTTGTGAATGTATGCCCATTTTTTTACTTTTTTCACAAGCGATGTGATCCACTTTTTTTTCAGAATTATCTGAAAAAAAGAATTCTTTAGCCTTGGTTCACACTATCACAATTTTACAGCAATCTGCAACATTCTGGCGGCATGGACAGTAAAGTTGCAGGTCAAGTGAAAACACTTTTAATGGATGCTGTCTTGATTGCCGCATCAAAAACTTCTTGTACTACTTTTTGGACTCCCATAAACTCAATAAAAATTGCTAACAAGTCGCCCTGTGTCTATATCAGCCTGATTCAGTGATTTCTGAGGCTTTTCCTAACCCGATGTAATGCCCTGTGGGTTAGCTAGATAAGATTTTTGTTAGATAGAGGCTGAGTAGTAGCCTGGGAGTGAGGCAGGAGTTCACCTCAGGACAGGCTGGGGAGGTTTACAGGTTGGATCTCCTTGAGCCCTCCACCTTTCCAGAAACTTAGAGAACTTTCTGGAAAAGGGTGGAGGAGGGAAGGAGGCCTAGATCTGCATGTTTGAGGGTACTTGGCCAATCCCCTGGCAAGAGGCTGGGCATGGTGACCAAGGATAACCCTTAAAGCGATACTAAAGGTCCTTTTTTTTAAAAATAACAAACATGTTATACTTACCTGTTCTGTGTAGTGGTTTTGCACAGAGCAGCCTGGATCCTCCGCTTCTCGGGTCCCCTGCAGGCTCTCCTGGCTCCTCTTTTCTGTGGGGTGCTCCCATAGCAAGCAGCTTGTTATGGGGGCACCTGAGCAGGCGTGTTCCTGAGCCGCTGCTCCTTGTGTCTATTTACACATGAATCTGCGGCTTGCCCCTCCCCCCTCTTCATTGGCTGACTGGCTGTGATTGACAGGAGTGTGAGCCAATGGCTCTCACTTGCTGTCTCAGCCAATGAAGGGGCAGAGACCCAGGACAGCCGAGGCTGTCATTCACATCGCTGGATTGCGATGGGGCTCAGGTACGTATGTAGGGGGCTAGGGGCACTGCTGCACACAGAAGGTTTTTTAACTTCTTGCAAAGAATGTACAAAGGTAAAAAATGTTGAGCCTTTTTAACTACTATAAATATGACAGAGCCTGGGGAGCAGTGTACAGTGTCAGGTGGAAGATGAACTGAGAGGAAGACTTGAGCGTGGAGCCTGGTAGGGGACCGCAGGAAGGGGAGCCCTCATACTGGCAAGTTGCTGGAAGGGAGGATCTCTGCTGTCTCCTGGGGAGGACAACCTGTGTAGCAGGGAAGGAGCCAGCCCAGCGTAAGGCCTGAAGGCAGCCACCAACCCACCACCCTAACAGGACAGGACATTGTGAGTACTCCTACATCCCCTGGGCCAGATAAGGGGAGGGGGCAGTCAGGTGCAAGAAACAACTAGTTCTTATCCGGGTCTGCTTCATTGTTAGCTCTTGGCACCCCTTGCCCTGGGATACCTTCTGTGCAGTTGGGTGAAAAGAGGATTCATCCAGGGTCTGAGGAGGTACATCAGAGGGACTTCAGTGCTCCTTAAAGAGACAGCGCTATAGTTTCTGATCCATAATTTTGTACAGTGTTTATTGCTAAGAAGGTCATCCTCAGGTTTTACAGTTCCTTGGGCATCCCATATACCCCTAGACCCCATCCAAGTTATTAACTCCTCAATAAAAACAACTAAAAACCAGCTCAAGGACTGTTTACTGACTGCAAGTGCAGAGCATAGGAGGACCCAAAACATACTCAGCGGCCCCTAGGGGGATAGTGGTACACCTATATTCCACTAAAATTCATTTTTATACTGCATACCTTTGTACCCGGCCATCCTTGCTACTGAATTCTACTCCTAAGTGTCTCATTGTCAGCTCCTATTGTCACTGCCCAATTTTTGACACCTCCCAACCCCATGGGCAGACTGAGCACATGGCCAGACTAGACATTACATTGCTACAGTTGTCTTCACAGTGTAAGCAGTGTAGCAAAAATAGCATCCAGACACATGCCTAAAGATCAGGACAAGGAACTACTAATCAGTCTAGTACATGAAAAAGGAATTGTGTCACACTCTGTATCGCTATAATTAGCCACAACCCACTGTCAGAATACAAAGGCTCAGCGAGAGTGATTCCCTCATCCACAACAAGTATGTGGATGGGGGAATTGAGTAATCTTTTTTTCATTCAATTTGCTGGTTGAACAAAAAAAACAAATGACTCATCTATGTGCAGCTTTAGATACCCTGCAGCCTTTACAGCTACCAAACAAATGCTGCTTGATGCACAGAGAAAAAGGAGAGCAATGATCCCAAAGAGTCCCGTGTGTCTGTAACTCTTAACACACTAAATGGATGTGTTATATTGCATTCAACATACAAACATCTAAGAGTATGGAAATATGGAACTTTGGGAAAATATGCTCTATACTTTATTAGGGCTCTATAAAAAAAAAAAAAAAAAACATTTAACAAAGAGTCATAAAAATGAGGTGGTGTTCAATTAAACAAAGATAACCTGTAAATTCTAGCAGAGTCAACATGCAGAAGGCTGCTTATCGTGTATTTACATTCCAGGTGCAGCTGCTTTTCAGGCATACTAAAAATGAAACCTGGTTATATGCACATAGATTTTTATTCATTTGGCCAGTAGACTGAAAAAAAAAAATTCAGATTCCTTCATCCATGCTAAACAACGCAGATGAACATACTGTATCTTATACGACAACTATTGTATTCTGATAGCCAGCACCACCAGCTGTCAAAATACTCAAACAATGCCTGCATCTGATTATATACAGCAGCTGTTCAGCTAACAATTTTTTTCCCGGCTCCTTAGATTTTTCAACTGAACCATAGCGGGCATTATGCGGCCAACAAGGTCACCCATGGAGCCAACTTCAGCTAGTTCATCAGGAACCAGACTAACAGATAAAAATTTATTAGCTTCTTTGCCGTTGTGTTAGTTATATAACACTATTCACTACAAAAAAAAGTAATCAGATTGCATAGATGCAGGTATTTATATTATAAATGCCAGCTTTCAAATGTATTGATATAGCAAAAATAACATCAGGCAGGCGCTCAGTGTGTTATGGAATGTAATTAGTAATTTCATGCACAAATGTAACCAGTTAAGGACCTAGGATGTACCCTATGCATCTTAGAGTCATTCCCCACTGGCATGCATCCATCAGAGTAACTGCCAGGACTGTCAACAGCAATCTTTGGATGCAACAGCTATTTTAGCTTTGGTTTCCTTTTCAAGTATATGTAAACCCTCTCAAAAAATTAACTAAAGTGGCATTAAACCCAAAAGCAAACATTTATTATATTGCAGCTTACCAATTCTTAGATGTGATGGCTGCATTCATTTTCCTTTTTAGGCTTTCTTTCTTCTATTTTCATCTGGTAATCTGGCCAGTAAGTCTGTTTTTTTTTCTAAAGAACAAGCTCTCCTGTAGATGTATTGATTTCCAGGGATGAGACAAACTGTTTACCACTGACAGTGGTGTTTACAATGATCAGCTTTTATTTATGTACAATCTTTATCCCAAAAGAAAAAAAAACAGTTTGCAGTAACTGCTTACAGAGTATTAGCTGGGGCTTATCTTCAATTTGTTAGTATATCTGAATCTGCTAGTACATCTAACACTCCCCTTTCTCCCAGACCAACAATTATGCTGTCCAAAGGTGCCCCCTGTGCTCCTTCATCCAGAGTGGAGGCACTCTAATACAGGAAAAGTGTTACTGGCCAGATGACCCAGTGAAAATAGAAGAAAAATCCTTAAAAAAAGAAAACTAATACAGCCACTCTATCTAATGATTGATAAGCTGCAATACAGTGCATCCAGAAAGTATTCACAACCAGGGGCGGAATGACAACTCATGGGGCCCCCAGGCAATAGGGGATCATGGGGCCCCTGTGTTCCTGCCCACACTCAAAAAAAGCCTATAAAAGGTACCAGGGGCATTTCATGCCTGAGTTCTCCAATGGTCAGTCCGCCCCTGTTCACAACACTTAACTTTTACCACATTTTGTTATGTTACAGACTTATTCCAAAATGGATTAAATTCATTTTTCCCCTCAACATTTTACAAACACTACCCCATAATGACAACATGAAAGAAGTTAATTTTGAAATCTTTGCAATTTATTAAAAAAAAAAACACATGTACATAAGTATTCACAGCCTTTGCTATGGCACTCAAAATTGAGCTCTGACGCATCCTGTTCCCACTGATCCTCCTTGAGATGTTTCCACAACTTGATTGGAGTCCACCTGTGGGAAATTCAGTTGATTGGACATGATTAGGAAGGTATAAACCTGTCTATATAAGGTCCCACAGTTACCAGTGTATGTCAGAGCACAAACCAAGCCATGAAGTCCAAGGAATTGTCTGTAGACCTCAAAGACAGGATTGTATCAAGGCACAGACCTGGGGAAGGGTACAGAAAAATTTCTGCAGCATTGAAGGTCCCAATGAGCACAGTGGCCTCCACCATTCTTAAATAGAAGAAATTTGGAACCACCAGGAATCTTCCTAGAGCAATCGAGGGAGAAGGGCCTTAGCCAGGGAGGTAACCAAGCACCTGATGGTCACTCTGAAAGAGCTCCAGCATTTCTCTGTGGAGAGAGGAGAACCTTCCAGAAGAACAACTATCTCTGCAGCACTCCCCCAATCAGGCTTGTATGGTAGAGTGGCCAGATGGAAGCCACTCCTCAGTAAAAGGCAAAAGGCAGCCCACCTGGAGTTTGCCAAAAGGCACCTGAGTGACTCTCAGACCATGAGAAACAAAACTCTCTGATCTGATGAAACAAAAATTGAACTCTTTGGCCTGAATGCCAAGCGTCATGTCTGGAAGAAACCAGGCACTGCTCACCACCTAGCCAATACCATCCCTACAGTGAAGCATGGTGGTGGCAGCATCATGCTGTGGGGATGTTTTTCAGTGGCAGGAACTGGCAGACTAGTCAGGATTGAAGGAAAGATGAATGCAGCAACGTACAGAGACATCCTTGATGAAAACCTGTTCCAGAGCGCTCTGGACCTTAGACTGGAGTGACGGTTCATCTTTCAACAGGACAATGACCTTAAGCATGCAGCCCACATAACAAAGGAGTGACTACGGGCCAAATCTATGAATGTCCTGGAGTGGCCCAGCCAGAGCCCAGACTTGAAGCCGATTCAACATCTCTGGAGAGATCTGGGAGAAATTGCCAGAAAATAAGTGTGCCAAGCTTGTAGCATCATACTCAAAACTAATTGAGGCTGTAATTGGTGCAAAAGGTGTTTCATCAAAGTATTGAGCAAAGGCTGTGAATACTTATGTACATGTAGTTTTTTTTCATTTTTTGTACTTAATAAATTGCAAAGATTTCAAAATAAACTTCTTTCTTGTTCAAACAATTTTATTAACAATAAATCAGAGTGGGACAAACAAAGAGACATTGCTAATGCACATTGGACATTGAAATGGCAAAAGAACATGAAAAAAAAAAAAAAAACAAACAATATGAATGAGGGTCATAGTACAGTTGTCTATGCATTACTAGCGGAAACAGGTAGGTAATAGTTGACAACAGAAGACATTATTGTTCCAGCCAATCAAAATGATGTCTCCCAAATGCGTTAAAGAAATAGGGGGAAGTTTAAAGGGGGGTCAGACAGGGAAAATAAACTTCTTTCACGTTGTCATTATGGGGTATTGTTTGTAGAATGTTAAAGAAAAAAATTAATTTAATCCATTTTGGAATAAGGTTGTAACATTACAAAATGTGGCAAAAGTTATATGCTGTGAATACTTTCTGGATGCACTGTATGTACATTTTTGGTTTGGGGTTTAATACCACTTTAAAGAATAATGTAGGGAAGGACATGGGTATAGGTATTGATCCAGCTTGAACCAATGTAACTATATATGTGGGATCCCTATAGAAGATGGAAATCATTCCTGAAGGCACTGCTACTCCAGCGATCTCCACTTTGTTGTCTCCTGTGCAGAGCAGCTACCCTGCTGCCTTATGAGAACAGGAGGTCACCTGCTCGGTACAGGTACTATCAGCTACTCAGGACCCAAAAGCTAGTGAAGATCAGTGGAGTTGCTGTGTCTACTACAGTGATTTGCAGCTTTTAGAGGGATCCCACATGTACAGTATATGAATAGTTACATTAGCCCAAGCTAGATGAATATAACTATGTAAAAATATCCTTATCTGGAATTCTTCTATAAATATACTAACTGTCCATAGTAGGATAAAACAAATGTTCTTTTGAAGTTACCTTTTACTCCTTTCTACTCTGCCTTGCTGCCTTTGGCTGTTTTTACTTTGTTTACCAGAGCTATAGATGCAGGTGAAGTTATCTACTTGTAGAGTAAAGCCAGCCATAGATGGATCGAATTTTGGCTGGTTCAGCAGGGACTGGTCAATATTCAATCCATCTATGGGCAGGCTGATTGTACCCAAGTCGATCCATTAATCGATTTGGGTACAACCAGCATGTTGGATTTTTACATGCGATTATAACTGCTGGCAATAGTCATTGTATTCTCTCCGCAGGCACGGCTCTTTGCACACCCGCACTGGGAGAACACAAAAGCTCCGCGGTAGGGACCAGTAGTTGCAGGAAAGAAAATCACCTGATCTATAGCCTGCCTAAGTCTTTTAATGAGAACAGAGTGAAGGATAAAGCTTCACTGTTCATCAGAGATTATGCCTAAATCACTTTAAAGTGGCAAAATGTTAGACCCTCTGACACATTTTAAGCATTAAAACCGTTGGATTATCCTATTGATGTAGGAGTTATAATAATGATTGGATTGGGAATCTGGATTATTGATTGGCATTTTACCCATGTCAAAGAATATTCATTATCAATCTAAGATTGAAATGCCACACCCAAAGTGAATCGTCCTGTTGCATGAAAAAGTAGTTGCCAGACTTTGTGCTTCATTGTCTGGTTTTTAAAAACATTACAGGTGAAACTCGAAAAATTAGAATATCGTGCAAAAGTTCATTTATTTCAGTAATGCAACTTAAAAGGTGAAACTAATATATGAGATAGATTCATTACATGCAAAGCAAGATAGTTCAAGCCGTGATTTGTCATAATTGTGATGATTATGGCTTACAGCTCATGAAAACCCCAAATCCACAATCTCAGAAAATTAGAATACGGTGAAAAGGTGCAATATTCTAGGCTCAAAGTGTCCCACTCTAATGAGCTAATTAAGCCATAACACCTGCAAAGGGTTCCTGAGCCTTTAAATGGTCTCTCAGTCTGGTTCAGTAGGAATCACAATCATGGGAAAGACTGCTGACCTGACAGTTGTGCAGAAAACCATCATTGACACCCTCCATAAGGAGGGAAAGCCTCAAAAGGTAATTGCAAAAGAAGTTGGATGTTCCAAAACTGCTGTATCAAAGCACATTAATAGAAAGTTATGTGGAAGGGAAAAGTGTGGAAGAAAAAGGTGCACAAGCAGCAGGGATGACCGCAGCCTGGGGAGGATTGTCAGGAAAAGACCATTCAAAAGTGTTGGGGACTTTCACAAGGAGTGGACTGAGGCTGGAGTCAGTGCATCAAGAGCCACCACACACAGACATGGACATGGGCTTCAAATGTCGTATTCCTCTTGTCAAGCTGCTCCTGAACAACAAACAACGTCAGAAGCGTCTTACCTGGGCTAAAGAAAAACAGACCTGGTCTGTTGCTCAGTGGTCCAAAGTCCTCAACTTTTGCATCTCATTTGGAAACCAAGGACCCAGAGTATGGAGGAAGAATGGAGAGGCACACACTGCAAGATGCTTGAAGTCCAGTATGAAGTTTCCACAGTCTGTGTTGATTTGGGGAGCCATGTCATCTGCTGGTGTTGGTCCACTGTGCTTCATTAAGTCCAGGGTCAACGCAGCCATCTACCAGGAGATTTTGGAGCACTTCATTCTTCCTTCCGCAGACGAGCTTTATGGGGATGCTGACTTTGTTTTCCAGCAGGACTTGGCACTTGCCCACACTGCCAAAAGCACCAAAACCTGGTTCAATGACCATAGGATTACTGTGCTTGATTGGCCAGCAAACTCGCCTGACCTGAACCCCATAGAGAATCTATGGGGCATTGCCAGGAGAAAGATGAGAGACATGAGACCGAACAATGCAGAAGAGCTGAAGGCCGCAATTGAAGCATCCTGGTCTTCCATAACACCTCAGCAGTGCCACAGGCTGATAGCTTCCATGCCACGCCTCATTGAGGCAGTAATTGCTGCAAAAGGGGCCCAAACCAAGTACTGAGTACATATGCATGCTTATACTTTTCAGAGGTCCGATATTGTTCTATGTACAATCCTTGTTTTATTGATTGCATGTAATATTCTAATTTTCTGAGATTGTGGATTTGGGATTTTCATGACCTGTAAGCCATAATCATCACAATTATGACACTATCTTGCTTTGCATGTAATGAGTCTATCTCATACATTAGTTTCACCTTTTAAGTTGCATTACTGAAATAAATGAACTTTTGCACGATATTCTAATTTTTCGAGTTTCACCTGTATTTAGTATTCAATCCAGCATATATTACTTCTCATTTTGGGCCCTGATGAAGGGACTTTTCTGTGAACTATTAAATACGCTGGTCCTGTGATAGTTTTTATTTACTGTCCATATCCCTGTTGAGGAGATTCACTACTCCCATTGACTTGCTGAGCATAGTAACCAAGAATGAAAGACTGTGGTATTTTAATTCCTGCAAGGTGGTTTTTCAAACAAAATGTCATGCCTTTGTAAATAATTATGTCCATTTAAATACTGTATGTTACTTTGATGCTACAGAGAAATAATCCTGTTTATGGTCTCAAGGCCTAAAGGGGAATTCCACAGCAACGTTTGCAAGCAGTAATTAGCATTCCTATACAATACCAAAATGTTACCAGCAATCTTTACAAAAATGTTTAAGAACTGTCCAGATACCCACAGCCAAGAACAAGATTCCGATTTTCTCACACTGACAATGACACCATACCTGAATGATAATGTCACTATTCTGTTGTTTCTTCTAGGTTTGAAACTAAAACTGACAAGCTATACTATGACGGATAAAGGCTACTCAGCAAAAAACAGTCCCCTTTAAATAAGAGAAAATAAGAGGATTATAAATACTACAGGTCTCCATTATTTAACCTTGTTATGTACTCTCAGGAGTTGGGAGACAATGAGCATGCCTGGTGGTTGACATAACAACTGTCAGACGTCTGGTGACCTCTGAACCCTGTTCTTAAATTACTATTATTATGTAGGTGTTCTGTAAGCCTGTATAATTATAACTTAAAAAGGAACTTTACTTTCCTCCTATTCCACCCCCTCTTACGTTTTATGCTGGAGAGACCACAAATCACTTGCTCACATGGTCAGCCATCTCACAGTGTTCTGTAGGGATCTGCCAGCCCACTGATGAGAACCAGGTCCCACACCGCCACCTTTATCTTTGACATCATCAGGAGGATGGCTGTCTTCTTTGCGTTCTTGCAGCCAGCTCCCTGAGGACAAGACAAATGTGCAGTAGCATACCCTACAGGCTCCTGGGATGCATAACATAAGTATCCAAGGAGGATGCAGGCAAGTGACATGTCATTCTCGTCTAGGCAAAAACCTAGGAAGTGCTGGGAGACTATAAAAAATGGTAGAAGAAAAAAATGTAAAAAAAGTAGTTAGCAATTTTGAGAAAGCAGGAGGCTATGGATTGGGTAGCTGAAAGTGGCTGCGAAGGGTGCAGATCTGCCAGATATTCAGATTTCTACATAAACAAATAATTGTGACTGGTTATCTTAGTTGTAGTCATTCTGCACTAGTAGAGTTTTGTACCGTGTTAACCATTGATTACTGCAGAAAGTTTGGCGTTTAAGTGATACCATTTATTAGCTAACTTATAATACAATTCCAACAAAAACCTAATAATCATAAAAATGCTCCCCCTTCCCCCTCCTAACACCCATATTAACTAACCCAGGGGTAGACTGACCATTTGGAAACTCGGGCACTGCCCGAGGGTCCGGGGTCAGTAGGGGGCCCCATGAGATGCCCCTGGTATCTTTTTCATAGGATTTTTTGAGTTTGGGCAAGGACACAAGGGCCCCATGATCCCCTATTGCCTGGGGGCCCCATGAGTTGTCTGCCCCTGAACTAACCTGTGTAAAGAAGATTTGTATATTTACTTATTCACAGCCCAGTACAGTCACGTGATATCAATCAGTGGTGGCCGCAGGGAGAAGAGGGACCATCCACAACAGCTACACCATGGGACTCTATGGATGATGTCACCACTCCTGACTTTCCCAGCCATTCCCAGGCACACTATCCATTCCCCTGCTGCTGCCACTGCTGGCCCGATACAGGGGATCACATGACTGGACTGAAGCAGGCTGAAAATAGGTTAGTATATAGATCCCGTTTTACACAGGTTTGATGGTATAGATGCAGGGGCGGACTGACCATTTGGAAACTCGGGTCAGTAGGGGGCCCCATGAGATGCCCCTGGTACCTTTTTCATAGGCTTTTTTGAGTTTGGGCAAAGACACCGGGGCCCCATGATCCCCTATTGCCCGGGGGCCCCATGAGTTGTCAGTCCGCCCATGTACAGATGTTAGGAGGGGAGAGGGAAAATGTTTAAAATTAGTTGGACTTTAACTGGAATTCTACTTTACTTTCATTTTTTTTTTTTTCAATTGGAAAATAACAAACACGTCTATACTTACCAACTGTGTGCAGAGGTTTTGCACAGAGCAGCCTGGATTCTCTTCATCTCGGGTCCCTTTCCGGCTCACTTGGCTCCTCCTTCCTGTCGGGTGCCCCCACAGCAAGCAGCTTGATATGGGGGCACCCGAGCAGATGTGTTCCCAAGCCGCTGCCCTGTGTGTCCATTCACACATGGAGCCGTGTCATGGCCCTGCCCCCTCTCTCCTCATTGGCTGTCTGGCTGTGATTGACAGCAGTGGGAGCCAATGGCTCCCACTTGTTGTCTCAGCCATTGAGGAGGGAGAGACCCGGGACAGCCGAGGCTGTCGTGCACATCACTGGATCGCAATGGGGCTCAGGTATGTATTGAGGGGGCTGGGGGCACTGCTGTACACAGAAGGTTTTTTACCTTAATGCAGAGAATGCATGAAGGTAAAAAACCTTGAGCCTGTACAACCACTTTAAGTTATAGAACATGTCTTCAGCCTTTACACATGAAATGCATGAAATCTGAAGAAAGGACCTAAGTTATCTGAAAAGCTTGAATAACTTAAGTTAGACAATAAAAGTATCACTTCACTCCAAACGCTTTGTTGTATTCACTTATGAATTAGATATTGGTTACACAATGTATTGCAGAAAAAAGTTTATCTTTTCTGGTATGCTTGAATGCAGACTGTGATTCCTTAATTAGTATCTTAAAGGAGAAGTACAGCCAAAGCTCATTGGCTGTACTTCTGTTGATCATAGGAGTGCAGTTCTGAACTCCTGTGACTCATTTTCAGCTGACCATGGGCTTTAGTAGTGGGAAGTGGAAAGCTGCAAGCAGTCACAGCCGGATTCCCAATGTAAACATGGGCCTGAAGAAGGCTGAAGAGCCGGCTCAAGTGTGGTTATCCCTGGACGGGTAAGTGTTATATTATTAAAAGTCAGCAGCTACAGTATTTGTGGCTGCTGACCTTTAATTCTTTATTTCTGAAGAACCACTTTCACACATGTCCTGTTAAGAAAGCCCATTCATTTGATGAACAGTTATTTGTAAATCAGTGCACCACAACACACAGTAGTGAGCTAAGGGTGCACAGCAACAAAGATGCATTGGCCGCTTGCATCGCTAAGAATGAACAGCAACACAGCCCACCAAGAAGCAAAATGCTTGTTTTTGCACATTGTCATAAGACACGCATCATATACTACTGTATGAATCAAGATCTGTTGTTTGTGTTTGCAGGGATCAGAATCAACTATCACTTATTCACGATCCTGAGAATTAAGAAAATGAAATTCTGTCATTTCAGTTATCTTTTCTAAAACCCAAGTGAAACCAAAACTTGTTTGAGATAAAGGGATACAGTGAGAAAGGGTGAGAAATAAACACAATAAAAATCTGACAGAGGGTTAAAACCTGTTCATATCTGCACAATGAAAAAAAACTTGTAAAAAGAAGTCCTGCTTGCTGCATGTTTGATATGCTTTCCGTCAAAAGTTGCCGTAAGTAGAATTTAATAATAACCCACCTAAACCAGGCCTAATCCTTTCTTGCACTATCCAAAAAAAGAAAAAAATGGCTCTACATGGTTTTAAAATGTATATCTTTATTTCTCTGTTAAGAATCCTCTGTACTGCAGTTCTGCGGGAGTGGCCAAGTGGATTACTCTGCATTTAAGTGGACCTGAGCTCAAAAAGTAAAAGTCTATCTTATTGAAAAAGAAAATGTGCCGACAACTTCATACATGAAGGGGGCTCCAAACTTTTCAGTACAAGGACCACATCATAGATTTTATAAATATTTGCTGGCACAAAAAAAATCCCCATTAGAGTCCCCCTTACATCAGGGTCTTCATCAGATTCCCCCTTACATCAAGGTTCCCAACATAGCCCTCTTACATCAGGGTCCCCATCAAAGCTGTCCTTACATCAGGGTCCCCATCAGAATTACCCTTACTTTTGAGATGCCATCAGAGACCCCCTTTCATCAGGGTTCCCATCAGAGCCCTCTTACTGTACATCAGGGTCCCCATCAAAGCTGTCCTTACATCAGGGTCCCCATCAGAATTACCCTTACTTTTTAGATGCCATCAGAGCCCCCTTTCATCAGAGTTTCCCATCACATGGGGGACTGAAGAGGAGACCATGAGCATTCTTCTCTGACTTTAATACTCAAGCTTTGCACATTACGGATACAATACTGACCCTAGCGAGGGCCAAATAAAATCTTGTAGCAGGCTGGATGTGGCCCACCGGCTGTAGTTTGGAGGGTCTTGTCGTAGATGTTTGTCTGCAGTGTGAGATCTAAGGCACTGCTGCATCTGACTGCTAGTAAGTCCATAATGGTATAAGAATCAGCTGGAGGAAGACCTCAAGCAACAATGGTGACTTGTCCTTTGCTACAACCTTTTTTAAGCTCAGCTTCCAGAGTTCAATTCCTCCAAGATAGGCTTGTAATTTCTCAATATACTTTTCTTATGAACATACAATCCAATTGCCAATACATTAAATACATGACTAGCATTTAAAATTCCAGTGTTGTCATTATTGTCTTTAGTCTTTGCAGCCAAGTCCAGAAGATTGCAGGATATGCCTAACATCATTTTCTGCATATCTGGACTCAACTTTATTTCACATGATATGGAATCATAGGGAATGTAATCACAGCTGTTGGTGGTTACAGGGCAGTTCCTTTTTCCCCTTTGTCACTGCCCATATAGCCAGTCAAAGCATAGATACAGCTGGTGCCAGAGATCTACTAGAGGTTAGGGTGTGTGGAACTTACAAACTGTGGAGAAAGGAGGGAAATACATCTAATTGTATTAATCACTTCCATACTTAATGTCACATTGATGTGATTACATCAGCCCAGATGATGCAGAAACTACACGAATGTGTCGAGGAGACTGGTGACCGTGCAATACATAACAACACAAGTGTCTGGTCCCCTGCACAGGAAATGCACACATAAAAGCCTCTGGAAAGGAACTTATTTACATAATATCTCAGTAATGCTGTAACTACTGGTTAATCTGGTAATATATCCATCCATGCGGAAATATATTTTTGCATGAAGTTAGGCTTTAAAGTGTATTTAGTTATTTTTGCCATTTTCGAAAATGTGGAGAAGTGTTAACTCCCCTGCCAGGATATATTTCTGACAGTATCCCCTCTAAAGAAAGTCATCCACTCTATTTGTATTAGTGACCATTGTTAATGCACAAAAGGTAACAGGACATTCAATATCTAACAGTTGCAACTGCAACAGGCAGTGATGGGAAATTTTCAATGGAATAGCCTTTTAGGAGGTTTAAACCCTTCCTTACTGTATCAAAAACGAAAAGAAAAAAAATTACAAGAAACATCCTTTAACACTTGTATCACTATAAAGAAGCCTTTTATGAGTAGGGTTCCTTAGAACATTGGTGTTCCTCAGAGGTTGCTAGGGGTTCCTTAAGCAATTAGCATTTTCTGCCTCCCAGATATGTATCCACTGACGCCAATGATGTTATTAGATATTGGTGAGGAGGGCATATTTCCCACTGATCACCATAGTAAGGAGCATGCATCCTACTGACCACCACAGTAAGGAACATTCTTCCCAATGACCATCTACGTAAGAAGGGCATTCCTCCCACTGACTACAGTCTTCCCATGGACCAACAATGTAAGAAGAATACTTCCCACTGACCGCAAAATTAGGGGACAATCATCCCACTGTCCACCAAAGTAAGCAGCATTCTTCCCAGTGACCACCAGAGTAAGGAGCATTCTTCCCCCTGACTGCAAAGTAAGGAGCATTCTTCCTACTGACCACTAATTTAACGAGAATTCTTCCCACTGTGCACAAAGTTAAGAACATTCTTCCAACTGAAACTCAAAGTAAACAACATTCTTCCTACTGACTAATAAGGTAAGTGACCACGAAAAGCAATGGGACATTCAGTATCTGACAGTTGTAACTGCAACAAGCAGTGATGTGAACTATTTCAATGGGATAACCTTTTAGAGGTTTAAACCCTTTCTTACTCTTAATAAAAACGAAAAGAAAAAAGTTTTGGCAAGAAACATACTTTAACATTTGTATCACTATAAAGCAGTCTTTCTTAGACGTTGTTAGGGGTTCCTTGAATAATGAGCATTTTCTTCCTCCCAGATATGTATCCACTGACACCAATGATGTTGAGATATTGATAAGGAGGGAATTTTTCCCTCTGAGCACCAAAGTAAGGAGCATTCTTCCCACTGACCAACAAAGTACGGAACATTCTTCCCATTGGCCACCAAAGTAAGGAGCATTTTTCCCACTGACCACAAACGTAAGGAGAACATTCTTCCCACTGACCACAGAGGTAAGGAGGGCTTTCTTCCAATGGATCACCAAAATAAGAAGGGAATATTTTTCACTGGCCACCAAAATAAGGAGGGAATTTTCCCCACTGACCATCAAAGTAAAGAGCATGCTTCCCAGTGACCACCAAAGTAAGGAGGGCATATTTTCCACTGGCCACCAAAGTAAGAAGGCACTCTTAATTTTCTCACTGACCACTAATTTAAGGAGCATTCTCCCCACTGACCACAAAGTTATGAACATTCTTCCTACTGAACAGCAATGTAAACAACATTCTTCCTACTGACTAAAAAGGTAAGGAGCATTTTCTCACTGACCGTAGAGTTAGAAGCAGTCTTCCTACCAGAGGTGAACTGACAACTCATGGGGCACCCAGGCAATAGGGGATCATGGGGCCCCTGTGTCCTTGCCCAAACTCAAAAAAGCCTATGAAAAAGGTACCAGGAGCATCTCATGGGGCCCCCTACTGACCCCGGGCCCTCGGACAGTGCCCAAGTTTCCAAATGGTCAGTCCGCCCCTGCTTCCTACTGAAGACTGAAGTAAAAAACATTATTCCTGCTGTCTACAATGAAAGGAGCAATATTCCCACTGAAGACAATGTAAGACGCATTTTTCCCACTGACCACCAAAGTCAAATGCATGCTTTCCACTGACTATTAAAGTAAGCAGCATTTTTCCCACTGGCCATGAAAAT